CCTGTTGCGGGGATTTACAGAAACACATCATTTATTAACTGAAGATGTTTTGACACTTATGGCATATCCCATCAGAGTGTATGGACCACACACTAAGCCTGAATACGCAGGAACCCTAACCCAGCACTCCCTCTCTGCTCTGTCAGAGATAGCTGAGTTGGCTGCAGGTGTCTCTTCGGCAAAGGACAAATCTGTTCAGTGCTAATTAGTGTTTAGTGTGTGCTGAGTCAGTCAGTGGGAATGGCATGAAACCTAGCATCTCTTTGTCGAGGTCGTGTGCGTCTTCAGCACGCTCGGGTGACGGACCACCGTTGTGTCACTCAGAAGAAACACGCAGTGTATTCTGACAATACTAAAATTTTGGAATCTTTCAGGAAAGGGAGAGAAGTCAGGAGCGTGCTGTTTAGGAGAGCGTTACCCCATGATCAAAGTAACACACCTCCGCCGCTTCTTTCCTCTGGTCTTGAGAAAAGAGTGAGGGCACTGGTAGGTTGCTTAAACAGGAGACTAGGTAGACTATTCTTGGGAAATATGTTGCCTTATTCACTTCCTGGCAGAGTTGATGTGGAGCTTGATAGCCGACGGTGGAGAGGCTGTCTGTGATGGTGCTCATTTGAAAAACCTACTGAGCAGCCAGCTTAGCTTAGCCAAGGCATAAAGACTGGAAAAAGAAAGAAGAGGCGATACAGAAGTAGCTTGGCTTGCTCCAATCAGTTACAAGCATCCAGCCTACCAGCCAGCTCTTCAAGCGCAAGATTGACACAGGGGGCGGGCGGGGCCCACTCTGCTCGGCTGGGACTAGTAAGGCGTCTCGCTGCAACGATGTCGGTGGTGGCTGGCCTGGTAACTGCCAGGGAAGCACCAGATGATCTGAGTACATAACAGCAAAAATGGTGAGGATGTCAGGTATTTAACCGCTGTTCCGATTGTATGAATTGCAGACAAACGATGATGATTAATAATGTGTGGGTGAATTCGAGATCTTTAGTGGCTTTTTGGACGGATGCTCAGGTTCTAACGCATTTCGCCCCTGCTTCGCAGTCTTTGTGCTAAGGTAGGAGGCTAATACAGACGATCCACATTAGTGCATGATTTACGGAGGGTGGTAGTCGGTCGTCAGTTTCTTGGGTTTGGGAGATAGTGGTGGATATGGTATGATAGGTGAGTGTTGCCCGTGTGTGAGACGAAGTGAAGCCGGTCGGTGTTCTGTCGTGGGATGACGTTGTGTCCGCGGTTCACTGCCAGATAAACAGGAGTATCTTAGTTGATGAAAAGGGATTTTCTTGTTGCCGTGCATATTTACAGGAGCTACTTCTTCTGTCATAGTGACATGTAACACAAATCTGGCAGTTGGCACAAGTCCTTTCCATCTCCACTGTTTTACCTACAAAAGGCACCAAGGAAATATAGACTTTTTGACAACTCCAACCAGCGGCACTGTCAGCTGCTCTTTTAATTGGATGACATTCCTTGCTGCAGCAATGTGTGTCCCAGATGCTCTAACACAACAGGATGGGAAAACCATGCTTACAACATCCTAATTACAGGCCACGGAGAAGATGCCCTGGTTTAACACTTCCTCTGTATCCTCCATCCATTCTAACTGTCCACCGTGTTTTGTTTCTATGTCCTCCATGTAGCTAATAATGGGGCTTTCTTGGTTCGATCCATGTCATTCGTGTGCTGTGTGTTTGTGTAACATTTGTGCTTGCTCTTCATGTCTCCCATGTTTGTTTGTTTGTTGCCGTCTGGTCACCACGTGTGTCTGTCAGTTACTAAGCGACATAAGGCTCATCTGAAGAGGCTGGACCGGAGATGGACGTTGGGGGGTGTCATCAGCAGGCAGCAGAGCCGAGGTGAACTGAGACAGATGCTGCATCACCTCCCTCCCTGCCTCCCTCCCTCCCTCCCTTTTGTTATTGTTCTCCTCACCCCATCTTTCTTATTGTCTCTTATCTCATGGCTCAACTCGTCCCTGTCCACACGCACATTTGTTCTTTCATCCTGTGTTGTCTTCCAGCGAATGCATTTATCATGAGCCACAATCCACCACAACTAACCACTAACTGACGTTAATATGAAATGAGCCTGGAAAGCAAAGGTGAAATCAGCAACTTTTATATACACCAATTATTGATGCTAAGCTCAAATTATGTTACAAAATTGCTCCATGTAAGCATTTTCGTTATAATTAAACACCGTGTGCCAAAACCAATCTTGCCAGAATTACAGAAAAAAACGACTCGCTCATCTGAAAGTAGTTGCGTAATAGACTTTGGAATGCCTCATGCTGCATTTTAGAGCCATATTTTGCTTTTTTATGAGCAAATGAAGCGTGTATGTAGTTTTCTAATGAGTTCTACCAAAGTGTGGTAGGAACAGACATTTAGCATGCTTAGATAGAAATAGCAACCAATATTGTCAGATAAACAAAGAGTCGTATTAATTTCTCCCTTTTTTAGCAAGAAAAAATCACATTCTCAATCACAAACCTGCACATGTTCTTCTTACCAAGGCCAAGGGGTTTCTTTTTTTTTTTCACAGGAGATGCATTTGGATAGCTGACAGCGGAGTGAGGATAGGCTATTGAGTTCAGCCCAAACTTTGCGCTTGGCAGTGGACGCTGCTCTCTTGAGTGGAGAGAGAGTTGTTTCCACCCTATGACTGAAATCCTGCTTTGTGTTTAAAAAAAAAAAAAAATTGATATTTTGCTGACTCCACAAGAATAATTTATAACACTGATGCAGGCGATGCATGTTGTGGTTAACATAACATCTGATTCAGAGTTTCCCTTCATTGCACTGCTGGATATTGTTTGAAAGAGGTTGGTGAGAGGAAAACGGTTTACCAGCCCCGACACAAAGAGGCCGGAAGAACCAGGCGAAAGGAAAATAAAACATACAGAAATATCTTTACCCGTGGAGCCCACTGTAGTTTCTGCAAGTAAAGGGAATTACCATCCCACACCCATTTAAGCTCCTACACAACCTTGGAAACGGGTGGAGAAAAGGAAAACGGAAAAATTTGTCACCAGAATGTTGATTCCTGTGTACCAACTGTACACAGTGCTTTTTATGTGCTCCTCTCCTTTTTGAACACACTTCCTGTGCTGTCTGTGTTTAGACAGGAATTGCTATAATGACAGGAAATGATGTCTTTGCTCTGCCCCTTGGCCTCATGGGGATGCATAAATCAGCACGGAGCCTCTGCTCTCTATTATGTGCTGAGTTAGGAGATGATCACTGTCACAGGGCCAAGGACACTACCTCCCCCCATGTGCTGTAGTTCCTCTTGGTCAATACCCTTTATGCATAGCAGTGAATTTAATTATTCTAAAGTGGTTGATATTTTTGGGGCACTACATTTGATCATATTTGGAGGAATATGCACTAATACTAGTTGTATTTATAGAGAGCTGATAGCAGAGAGTTGATAGGAAATGAGGAGAGAGAGAGAGAGAAGGAGACTGGCTCAAATGGGGGATGTTGCGGTTTAAGGTTGTTGCCGTAAGGCAGGAACACAGATTATGTCTGATGAGCCGATTATGAATTAATTTGGGCGTCATGACCAAGTTAGACCAGGTCGGTTCCAGTTGTTGACAGTCAGCAGATTAAATCATGTATTGCGTGATATGAAACCATTCTAATCTTAAGTATTCAAATCCAGTTGGCGCCAGTAATAAAGATTTGTTTTAAATATTTGTGAATGACAGTTGCGGCCAATTATGTAATTTGTGTGTCGCCTGAGGGTGACATACCTGTAAGTAAACAGCTTTACCTGAAGTTAGCTTCATTAATTCACTCACCTCCAATTCCCTTGGTAGGCTATACAGTCTGCGTTGCCCATGCCTCTCCACCCAGGATCTCACAGAATTTGTGATTTTTGGTATTGGTCTTTTCTGTGAAGATTGCACTCCAGTTCATGTTTGCAACAAGAACATGCAACAATTTGCGTTGTCGCTCGATTTGCAGGGTGGTCTACCACCAGAACTCTAGTGGTTACTGACCAGTTGTTCAGTGTATTTGCTCAGTTGCAAGGTTCACACTCTTTCTAGAAAATGTGTCCATTATGTGTTGGTCACCTGCCGTTATGTACATTGAAAGAGCTGTTAGTCATTATTTTTGCTCCTATCTACACTGGCCGCAAATACATTGCTGGGTGACAAAATCTACAGTCTTCATTTAATGCAAAAAAAGGTTAAAGCAGTGTGAAGCGGTCAAATCAATTGGGTCTTTTCTGTGCCAAAATTTGCGTGTTATGCTTCATAGTGTTTCCTTACTGAGTCGTGGTGGAGTGACAGTAACAACAAGAAGGAATAAAACACTGTAATATTGGAAGATACTCTTACTCTGACTAGTGAAACCTTGTATTAGCTTTGGGCGAAATTGTCTTAAATTGAACTCGGTTTAAGAGGGGATCTCTTTTGAGGCCAGTATAGACAGAAAGAACAATTAGTGACCAACAGTGCTTTTAATGTACACATGGGCATCTGAGTGTTATTTTAAGACAGACTGTGAACATATCCTCTAACCCCAGTACTCCTTATAATCAGATGGTAGTTCATAATACATTACAGTGATAATAATAATGATGCTAACTCTACATTATATTTTTCTCTATGCGATATATTGCAAAACAATGATCTAGACAGTAAATTACACTATACGAATAACCTCTGAGAAATACATTCTGTTATATTGGCAACATATTTTTTCCTGTAGTTATTCTCTGCATTATAAAGTTCCTCTCAGTTTCATAAAAATAAATATTGACAGATGTCAACATTTTAAAACATACAGCACATTTAGCAGCTGAACCACTTGCCAGAAAGCATTTCCAATGCAATAATATTTTGCTGCATGCATAATGCATTTCTAATTATTATCTTATTCATATTTTTGCAGTTTGATCATATAAATATATAAAGCCTATAGAATATACAGCCTCTTTTTCTTTTCTTTTCAAATGATTATATGGTTTTCAGCAATCTCACAGCCCTCAAAATCTTAGCGTTGTTGTCGTTCTTTGCTTTGGCTTTGGCAGAAGAGAAGTACGTAACAGTGCAGCCCTACACCAGCCAGGGTAAGGATGAGATTGCTTTTGAGAAAGGAGCCATTGTTGAGGTGATTCAGAAGAACTTGGAAGGCTGGTGGTTTATCAGGTAAACCTCTGCTCACTTGCTTCAGACATTTCTTACTTCATTCATTACAAAAAGATTATGTTTTTTAATCTTTTTTCTCTTCCAACTTACTTTACAGGTACCAGGATAAAGAGGGCTGGGCTCCAGCTTCTTACCTGAAGAAGATGAAGGATGACCTCTCTCCCCGGAAGAAGACAGTGACAGGCCCAGTGGAGATCATTGGAAACATCATGGAGATCAGTAACCTGCTCAACAAGAAAGCCTTGAGTGAGAAAGATGTGCAGACCGAAGGTGTCCCAGAGAGCCCCCAGGTGGCCAGGAAGGAGATCAGCTTGCCAATTCCTTGTGCTGACTCCAGCCCTGTCAATACCCCACAGGATGGAAAAAGTAAAGCAGAACCTGCCTCACCAGCTGTAGCCCGCATCGCCCCTCATCGGGTGGAAATTGGTTAGTCATCTCACTGTGAATGTTGGAATTTACTTCACACGTAGATTACTAATAATTCTTAAATCTCTTGAGGCTTATACATGTGTTTTCTTAACAATGTTTTTTCTTTGTAAATGTTTCACAGGTTCCCCAGTTCTCAGGCAAAAACCTCCTCCTCGAAGAGATGCAACCTTGGTGAGAATGTTTGATATTTTAGTCATCCATCTATTCCTCTAGACATTCATCTTTTTTTTTACTTGTTGAAGATCATGGAGCTTGAAAAACTGTTTATAGGTACTAATGAATCTATAGCCCTTTTGAAAAATTTTAAATGGCAATGTGGTCTTAACTTTTGTTCTCTGTTGAAGAACAAACAAACAAGACAAATCTATAATGGAAAGTGGATACATCAGAGGCATAATCGCTGTATGGAATTGCTCTGTATTTAATGGTCATTCACATGACAGATGTATATGGCTTTTCCTTTGTACAAATAATTAGCAACAAACACTAATAAATAATAAGCAGTAGTGAAAGAAGTGTCCAGATGCTGTAAGTTAAAGTAACAATACATTAGAGAAAGAATATTTCAGTACAAGTTGTACAATTAGAATCCTGAGAGAAATTGTAGTAGTAGAAGTATAGAAGTTAAGGTAACAAAAACATGGCTCCTGTTACATTTTTACATGACAATATTAGATTAATACTGATGCATCAGTGTGTAAAGCAGCATTTTACTGCTGTAGTTGGTTGAGGTGGAGCTAGTTTGTACTACTTTTACTTTGCTTTTTTATAAATGTAGGTATTTCAGTCCAGTGGTTCCCAATCTAAGGGTCAGCCCCCCTCCTTTTTTTTGCACTTGTTTTCCTAATCTATGCTTTTTTGTGAAATAATAAATAATTTTACCTAGTAAATCCTTGAACAATTATTTAATGAAACCAGAAGCTTGGTAAAGTCTGGAAATGCTAACAACTGATAAATGTCGTCATCTACTACAGTACCTTCCACCACTGACAGTGTGTCTAACAATGCCAATTTCATTTATGCATAGGGATTTCAGTTGCCCTCCCCACCAGAGCCCCCTACAGTTGAAGCAGAGTATTACACCATTGCAGATTTCCAGTCCTGTATATCTGATGGTATCACTTTCAATGGAGGACAGAAAGCAGAGGTAAGCATTCTTTTTCTAACTAGACAATCTTAAACTTTGGTACCAAAGTCTCCTTCTTTTTTATTCATCATACCTCAGTAACAACTCTACCTTCTCCAAGGGAAAATCTAAATCAAATTAAAATGTATAAAAATGCCTTCATATAAAGACTAAACTTTCTTTGAACATGTATTTTAGGTCATTGAGAAGAACTCTGGTGGTTGGTGGTATGTCCAGATAGGAGAGAAAGAGGGCTGGGCTCCCTGCTCCTACATTGACAAACGTAAGAAGCCCAACCTGAATCGTAGAACAAGCACTCTGTGCCGCCCAAAAGTTCCACCCCCAGCTCCGCCTGTAAAAAAACAAGACTCAGTGGAGATTGCACCTCCCAGCAGCCCCGGGTCTGAAGCTCCAGAGTCCCCTGTGTCTCCTGGGAGGCCAGTGTATGAAGAACCAGAATATGATGTCCCTGCCATTGGTGATTTGGACCTGGAGTCTGAGTTTGAGTTTCTGAGGGGAGAAGGTTCCTTGGTGGATGTCAAGAATGAGGACACTTCCTCCGAGAAGGGATCCCACCTGTCCTCCAAGCCGTCTCCAGCTTCGTCACTCCACAGTGCCTCCTTCAAGATGGGTGAGTCATTTGAAGATGGCCATGAGGCTGAGGTGGAGGTGGAAGGAGAGGAAGAGTGTATCTATGAGAATGATGGCTTCCGGCTCTTCAGGGACACACCAGAGAGGCAGTGCAGCAGGGACTCGAATTCCTCCAAGACAAGTGTCTTGTCAGAAACCGGCAAGACTGCAAACCCAACATCAGGTGGTTGGAGACCTGCAGGTAACAAGTTCAAGATCGACTTGAATGGGAGCCCAATTTTAAACAAAGCTGAGGAGGCATCCAGTCCAAAATCTGCCTCCACTGACTCCACCCCAGATTTGTCCAGAACTAAGAAAGATCAAGAGGAAAGCAAGGCATCCTGTTCTTCCAAGTCTTCCTCAAAACTAAAGCCAGTGGTGAGGCCTAAACCACAACTAGCCAAGGCGTCCAGTGCAGAGAAGATGGACATCAGCACCTTGAGAAGACAGCTGCGGCCAACAGGGCAGCTGAAGAACGGCACCAAAACTAAAGGTGAGGACTCTGAGACAGCTTCAGTCATCTCTTCAGAGGACTCCTTCTCCTCTCAGAGCACATCCGATCTCTCTTCCATCTATTCTAAAGGCAGCCGTGGAGACTCTGACCTGGAAGGCTCCAACCTGTATCGCACCACAGATCCCTATGAGAAAGTCCAAGAATCTGAGCTCAGCTTCCCTGCTGGAGTGGAGGTGGAAGTGGTGGAGAAGCAGGAGAGTGGCTGGTGGTATGTACGTTGGGGCAATTCAGAGGGTTGGGCTCCAACTTATTACCTTGAGCCCGTCAGGCAACAAGATGACATGGCAGGGTCTGAATCTGATGGCACCCCGACAAAACCGGGAAGCCTCAGCAAGTCCAACAGCCTGGAGAAGAATGAACAAAGGGTGCAGGCATTGAACAACATCAACCAAAACCTAAAGAAGGTCACCCCACCCATTCCCTCCAAGCCTCCAGGTGGCCTCTCCAAACCTACCAGCCTATTCGGTTCACGGAAGCAGAATAGCGCCAAACAGCAGCAGGTTGTCAGACCTCAGTCTGTATTCATATCAGGCCCGATCAGGGATGGTCCTAGCCCTGTTGGCTCTCTCAGGAGAAACGAGTCCCTAAACTCCACAGACCACCCTCGTGCCAGCCCCACAGTGAGACGCAATGCCTCCTTTGGCACTGTGCCACGCAGCCTGGCTCCAAACAACATAGCACTACCCAGCAGGAACAGGTCCGGTACCGGTAGCTCTGAATCCCTTGGCCTCAGTTCTCAGAAGAATGCCCTCCCTGTGTCCACGGTGAAACCCAAGCCCCACATCATCCATAACAACCTCAGAGAGGTGTATGTCTCCATAGCGGATTACCATGGTGACGAGGAGACCATGGGATTCCCTGAAGGGACGAGTCTGGAGGTCCTGGATAGAAACCCCAATGGATGGTGGTACTGCAAGATTCTGGACAATGGCAGACCAAGGAAGGGATGGGTTCCCTCAAATTACCTCGAGAGAAAGCACTAGCGCTCATGTGTGGAGCTGGCGGAACTCTGAACATGTGTGTAAAGACTACTCAAACAGATGCATTTATTTTGTGAAAAAGGCTAACCCTTAGACGTTAAGCAAGGATTGAAAGCTTACCCGGTAACTTTGCCAAAATTACCAGCCAGCTCAAATCGTGACTTTGAAATTAAATGAGACATCTGGTAAAATGAGTCTACATGATACAGTGCCTAAGACGTTGCATTAGGAGCAATATATTGGGACTTTATGACACAGCCAAAGAGAACACCAGAGTGGAAGAATGATTTAATGATATCCATCAGTGTTTACCTTTAACTTGAACTAAAATGTCATTTTGTGTCCTCTCCTTGAACCTTTCTTTGTAAGTTTATAATGTAATTTTTTAAAAAACTTTTTAAGCATTTAAAGCTTACTGCATGTTTGAAATGATTCATTATACTGACGATGCCTTGAGCTAGTGAAATTGAACCTTTTTCTCCTTCCTTCGGTAAAGAAAATGTCAGTTGTTGCCAAAGCTGCTTTCTGTTAGATTCATCTTGGTGCTGTCTGTTTGCATGTTTTTTTTTATATCACTTTATACTGTATGTCGCCTTTATGTGAAATATTTTATCCATTTAATTGTGTAATATAACGAAACAATTTGTGAGCATTTCTGTTTATTACAGTATTTTCTTACGATTAAATGTAAAAACAATCCCTGATAATGATCCCCCCTGGAACAAAAATTAAAACTTCCCTAACGAATTATATTTATTCATTCCTTAAAAATCATATTACTACTTATTTTATTATTATTGTAAGAAATGTACTGATTTAAAAAAAAAATCACATTTGCTTAAACATTTTCTAAGAACTGCTCTATTAATCATGATAACAGTTTGAATTTCTGCTGGGCAGTAAATTTGACATAGCTTCAGCTGCAGCAGTACTGGGATGCTCACTTTTGTTTCATGTTAACTGTGTGACCAGTGATCATAACTGAAGTGCCAAAAGAATGAATTGAATAAATGCACTTTTGAACAATCATTAGTAATTTTTTTAAATTCTCATCACTCATATTCACCGTTGGCCCTGTCAGATTAACTCAAGTACCCCTTCTTCATCACAACCCGCCATGTTCCCTATGTGCCCTTATGAATGGATTATAAACCAGATGTTATTCAACAATATTCATTATAAAAGGGGATATAGATACAGTGGAATTATTAATGTTTATGTTGCTTCTGTCAAGTTGGCAGAAGGTCGACATTTCAAATGTTTATTAATTTAGGCTGCTTTAGCTGATTATTTCAACTGTTTATTCATTACTTTTAGCTAACTACTATAACTGTTTATCCATTACTTTTAGCTATTTATTTCAACTTGCTTTTAGCTAACTATTTCAACTCTTTATTCATTACTTTTAGCAACTTATTTCCACTGTTTACCCATTATTATTTTAGAGTCGGTCCCAGAGCGTCAGTGTTACACTGTAGGGAACAAGAGACAAGTGCCTAGATGTAATGGGGAGAGTGTTGTTAGTGGTATTGAAGTGTGAGGATCACACCAGCGTCTCATTGGACCAAAGTGACATTTGCCATTCAATTGAGAAAATTTGCTGTCCTACAAACTGACGTTAGCAGTGCACTTTCCCCGGGTGAATGTTTGTCTCACACAAGACATATGTTCATGCTTGTAAGTTAGATAAGGAGACTTTATGTGGCTTTTGTGTGGTGTAGCAGGCTGCTGTCTGGCTCAGTGTGACAGTCTGCTCTGTCTATGCAAGATTACATCACTGCTTTATGCAAGATTCGATTGGCTGTATCGAAATTCAATCTATGTAGACGGATACAGGAACAGTATTATGTCAAATTAAAGTAAAACAAACGCCACAATGAAAGCATCAAGTTTTTCTTTTTTGGTCAACACAGGACAAGTGATTTACAGAGCAGATATGTGGCAGACAAAACTGAATTCTAATGGACTTTAATGCTCCACATGTGGCATTCTCTGTGGCAATCTCCACTGTTTATTTTGTCATGTGAGTAGGTGTAATTATCTGCTAAATTAATTGCAAATTAATGTGGCGTTGGCATATAATAAACAGTATAATGAAAACCTATCACAGGCTATAATCACTGCTTATGTTAAGCCTCTCAGTTGTGTTGCATTAAAAGCTTTGTGCATTGGAATAAGTAAAAGATCTCAATATTGAATGTGTTTATATCTAGTATAAACTCACATCTGTGCATATGCACTACAGCTCAAGTGTTTGACCAGCTGGATGCTGTTATGCAAATAAATTAGATCACACTTGGTTGCATAGCATGCCTTTCATTTCTTACCCAAAGCAATAAGCCAGATAGTGGTGCAGTTCACTTTGATTGGCCTCCTCCAGCCGCTTCTGCTTTGGGAGAACCTGCATATTTGACTTTGGTCTGGGTGGCTTTCCCTCTGTGGTCACTGGGCAGCTTAATTTAGCATCAACTGACAAAGCAAAAGTTTAAGTTACCAGTTTGGAGTTGTAGTCTATAATATTGTCGCCTTCAGCTATAATCAGAGAAACACCAAATCAAAACACTGATGCAGTTTTCCAGTGTCACACACTGCATATTGCTGATATATTGGATTTGGTGTCTGAAATATAATAAGATTTACAGCCCACAGGAATGTAATGTGAAATATGTCCATCCCACTGGCTGTTTCCTCTATTGGGATCTCTACACTCATACTACACTCACTGGCTTGGAACTAAGTTATGGGTGCCTGCTGATCATCTTTATAATGTGTTTGTCTGCTGCTGGTTGTGTCTAAGTGTGTCTGTATCTGCTTGCTTGTTGTACCTGTGTAGAGTATGTGTTTATTGTGCATGCAAACGATAAATCACAGGAGAAAGAAAGAAGATAAAGACATCCCAAGAGGCTGGTGGTTTGTCAGTCATTGTGTCAGAAGTTGTGTTGTATGGTAAAAAACTCAGAATCTAATGTGTATTGAGTGTGGAAGTTCATTTTTGACCTTTAAAAAATAGTTGTTTGACACCTGAGCAAACTGATGTTGACCGTAATATGTTATACATTGAAAACTACAGTAGTAAGTAGATTATTATTAGAGAATGGGGAAAACAAGTTTGAATATATGAATATGAAATACATAAATATAAGTATGAATTGATGATTAATAATGAATGGTTTGGTTCAAAGGTGCATCCTCTCTCTGATCTCATAACACATTGCTTATGGTTTTGTTGCAGGCTGCACTGTGCTGCTGCTGTCTGTGGCCTCTGGAGGGCAGCAGCACTCAGCTTCTTATTGCAGGAAGACCACAGCATCACAGTAACCTTCACCTCCGTCTCCATCAACACAGTAATTAGATAGTGTAGTATGAGATCCCTCAATTGATCTGAACTATAAACAAAGTTGTACTTTTTAATATAATTGCATTTCTTCTCTCAGTCTGTCCCTTGACACTGCAAATCTGACTGAGAAAAAGATTTTACATCACGCTGAACATCAAAAGCTTAAAGCCTTAACTACAACAGAGGAACAAACTTAAATTCTGACTGTCTGATGTCTAGTTAAAATTCAAAATCGATGGTGTCGTGCTTTTTTGGAATACAAATTTGATACCTTAATAGATGGAGTGTGTGTTTGACCAAACAGCTGTCTAGAAGAGATACCACAACACAGCTCAAACAAGTCTGCCAAGCCCTTAAGCCTTCAGAAGGCCGGCAGCCAGGTTCACTGAGAGGTCTGAGTGGAAAGTCTGTGTGTACACAGACACCAGTGAGATATACTGTATTCATGTCACTGTCACAGACCCAGGCTGTGTATTTCCCTCTCACCTCTGAGAACACTTGGCCATGAACGGCAGCCACTGCTGCCTGTTTCATGTCCGGACGTCATGGGCTGTATTTGTGCCTATTGGAGTACAGCATAAAACAGTGCTGCATTAGAGCCAAGTCTGCAGGGTAGTAAATAACAGATGATGTTCATTCTGGCCAGGTCTACATACCACGACTCTAAACAGTTTCGCTGTGAGTTATAGCTGTTTACTAAAAGCCCTTGCCTTTGTTATTCATATAGTATATGGCGGGGTGTTAGTCAAGTATACTACTGTGGTGAGTGATTGTGTTGGGTGTTCAGCATCTGAAGATAGCTGCCTTCTTGTTCTCTAACTATTGCACAATTTGAAATTTCTTGCCTAAGAGGTTACATCAACCATTTGTATAATGTACGTTTTGGGAAAAGGTAATTGCACTAATGCTGTCTCATTCCCCATTTTTTGTGCCAGACTGACTGCCAGTTTCCTGCTGTGTATAAAACATAATAAGGACTGTGGAATGAAAATGGTCACTTTTAACTTTTTATTGCAATTCGAGTCAAATGCTTGAACCAAAGTTGGGGACTGGCTTACTTTTGTACCTAAAGAAGAAATGTATTTTTTTCATGTAATAAATAATAAATAATAACAGGCACAAAACCAGTTAATCTGACATAAACTTTATTTAACAAATGGAACATAATTAATCCACTTTAAGAATGTTTTTAACAGCTAATAGAAATCCCAAGCCCAGGAAACCCAAAGTTTCTTGTTCAAAATACACAATGCCCACCTTCACTTACTTGCTGGTTTTGTTTCGGACGTTATATATTTGGTCACATTTGAAAAAACAGGCCGTCAGAATTACGATCAAATGGGAACTAATCACGCCTGCTTCACTACAACACAAATTCAAATATGCACAAGTAGGAAAAACATAATTTGACCAACTAATATGTAACCAATGCCAGCTTTATACATTTTATTCATGTTTAATACCATATTTTAGTATATGACATGAAAGCAAACATTTGACATGTTGGGAAATACACTTATTCGCTTTCTAACAGAGAGTTAGATGAAACGTTTTGATACAACCCTCATATTTGTCCAGTAAGTGGTGACAGCTTGCACAGGGCTCCCATGAACCCCCACTATAGCTGCACATTAGATCATGGACACCCAATTTGCAAGGATTTTGTCCCCTCTGAGTAATTTTCTTTATTTTTAGGTTTGAGGATAATAAAGTTTTTATAGTCAATCAATGATCAAACAAGGATCACTATAAATTACTCAGCCAGCCATATTTCTTCCCTTTGTTAAAATATTCTCTTCTTCCTTTTGCTGGGGATTCTCTACAACCCACTCAAGGACCCCTGTTGTTTCCTGGACCACAGTCTGAAAACCTCTGAGCTAACCGACGGTTAGCTTAGCATAAAGACTGAAAATGGGGAAAACAACTAGCCTGGTTCTGAACCTCAGACGTAACAAAATCTTAATCTAAACTAGGGCTGCATGATATGGTAAAAACATCATATTGCGATAATTTTCACAGTTATTACGATTGCGATATGATTCACGATTATTGTGCGACTGATCATTTTGGCATCACAATTTTCATTTTCACCGAAAAAACTATTAAAATCATGAAGATATGACATTTGTTGGAGTCTGTGCCAAACAAACATGTTTTCTCAAATAGGCCAGAGCACTTCTGCTAATTTATATTTTTTTATATTTATAATATTCATTCTTTGTATGTTCATCACTACCAGCCACCAGTCATTTTATACATTATTATAAAAATGTAATTTATATCCATTTTAAGTAAAAGTAGTACAATGATACCATAATATCAAAATGTTCCACTCCATTCAAAAATGCACTGAAGTACAGTACTTGAGTAGTGTACTTGAGTCCTTAAAAGTTACATTCCACTACTGTGAAAAGGTATCCTCTCATCTCATAACTCTCCACCAGAGTGAATAAAGTGTACTTAATAAAATGTCAAACTATTGCTTTAAGTGAAAATCATCAGACAGATGCACAGAGCCTTTCAGGGAAATAAAGTTTTCTATAATCTTTAACTATGCAACAATAAAATAAACAATATTCTTACTTTTTGGACAATTTAGCCATACATATAAAACAAACAGTGAGAATTCTTTATAGTAGCACTGACAAAATAAATAAACCTCATAATGTACAGTTAATATTATACTCATCAATAACGTTTTTCTATCAAAAATCAATGTTTTATTTCTGCTAGGTCATATTTGGTCAGGAAGAAAAACAAAAAAAAAAAATATAAAGGCTGAGCAACACAATTCCAGTATCATACAATGCAGTGACAGAGGGGACAAGGCGATTTTTAAACATTTCATCTTTAGCAGTGAATAAATTCACACACTGATATTAAGCACACTGAAGTGTTTGCTTTGTATTGGTAGGTTGTGTGGTTACAACTGCTCACACCAGAGACATCACAACCACATAAGAGTGATTTTAAGATGAATATGAACCTTGGTGTTCCTCTTGGCTTTCACTGGTGAGGAGCCTAACAGACCAGCGTTTGTCCAGACTTCTCTTTTTAAAAGGCACACAAGAAAACTGTGATTCAAATGTTATACAACTTAACTGCAAATTTTCCCTCCACGGTGGCGAGATGACTGAAGCTGAAGCTAACACCTTAAAAAAAAAAACACAAATCAGCACTTACTACTATACAAATTACTGAGTAATGTTTCATCAAGGCCAAAAAAACACCTGAAAATAGCTTCTTAACAATTCAAAGCAGTACATAATGCATGAGATTAGTCAAGTGAAAATGTCCTTGCAGTTTGCTTTTACAAACGGAGAGCAGCACTCAGAAACTGATATGCAAATGAAATTCTCACAATGTCCCACAATTACAAGCTACATCCTTGTCACTGACTGCACACGAGTGAATTTCTTTTCCACTTGAAGACACAGTGTACTGAAATACGTCATCACTGAAAGCAAATATTCATGTTCTTACTTAATGTACATATGAAAGAGAGAAGTGTGTAACCTGAATTAAGCGACGCCATCTGTAACTTGGTGTTTTATGGGTTTCTCACAATGATGAAGAGGTTGATTTGTCATCCTTGTGCGCTCTTTCAGCATTTTAAAAATACTTTGCTGCCCACCAATGTTTATTTGAATGTCCAATTACAGCATCCAGCCAGCTTACTGAGCAGCCAGACATGGCTGCCAAGAAGCAAAACATGCAAACCATGCAAGTCCCACATTTTACAGGCTTTCATACAAACTTCAGATGTATCTGGTGTGCCTGAGTGAGCAAACACTTTATTCGCGCTGTGCAGACACACAGCGAAGTTGCCCCTTCCTCCCTTGTCTTCATCCCAAACATACGACATCCTCTCTCCCACCTCCTCCCTCGCTCCCGCTTCACTGATTTACATCCTCATTCACCGCAAGCGTGACCTTCTATGGTGACAACGTTCACACTTTTTTACCCTTCGCACAATCTCACCCTGCCTGAAGTTCAGAGAAGCACAGCAGGTAGTGAGATATCCGACAAACCACTCCATTTATTACACAACAGAGTTTGTTTAAGGATTTCTTTTTTCTTACTTCTTTGTAACCCTTTAGGCTTAGGCATTTCATTGTGTTTTATTGCAGGAGCAGCATTTTTTCTACGCATTCAAAAAATGGCTTATTTGAGAAGTACTCCAAAGTTTTCACAACGAATGTCTTTCTTTTTCCTCACTTTTCTCATTCCTCACTGGCCTCTCAAAGCATTCAGGATAATCTACCAAATCTTGATTTTCTCTCAGATTTGTGCTCTCTGACAAGAAGTGGATTTATTCTCCTTGTTTCTTCTGCAGCTCTGGACAATTTTACCTCTTCTAAAACCAGCTAGCAGCGATGCTATCACCAACAGAATGAAGGGTTACTCTGCAGGAAGTAGGACATATGCCTCTTTAGATTACTCTTTCTATTCAACAGATCCACAAATCACAGAGTCGCTGGACAATAGTAGGTCAAGGCGTAACTGTGTATTTAGTCATTTACTGCAGTAGCACATGTTTTGTTTCTGTTGATCACACTTTGATGGTCTCTGATTAATCTTGTTGCTGGGTCTTTACTGAGACATCACAGGTAGGAGCCACTGTGAGCGTTCCAAGAATGTGCATTAGACATGACATAGATAAAATGTTTAATGATGAGTCCTGCTGTAGAGTACCTGAGCCAGATTGCACACACACAACAAGCGGGGCTTTCACTTGCGCTGTGTCCGTCTTTACTAAGTGTTACATGGCTTTGACAACCTCTTGAGCTGAACCTGAATCTGACACACTGAGCCTACGTGCTCCGGTAGGTCTTGATGATGTCTTTGATTGTCCTCCTGCAGATGGGGCAGCAAGCATTGGCCATCTTCTTGAGTTTGAGGCCACAGGCATAGCAGAGACACATGTGTCCACAGGCGTAGAGGACTGTGTCCACCACGTTCTCATAGCAAATGGTGCATTCGTCACTCCACGAGCCAGAGCAGGATGGGAAGGCAGGGGACTCTGGGTGGCTGGAGAATGGAGAGCTTGGGGTTGTGCCTGAGGTGACGAGAGAAAAAGACATTAGGGATGTGTGAGTGTACGTGACAGAGAAAACAAAACAAAAAATTGCAAAAAAATGGACGAAGCCTCTCACGTAGTTCAGGCAGACAACTGTAGTTGCATTACTATTCCAACATATATCCAACACACCTTTTATTCAAGCTGTAAATACCCTGCCCACTGGTTTTCTATGCTAATGATGCTTCAGGAAAACTTTATGAAGGAAAAACTGGGTTTGTGCTTGACCCCTTCTGCCGCCATCATCTGCCAGGAGTTTTTCTGTCATACTGTCGGCAGCCCGGGATCACTGCTTCACATCACCAAGGTAAATATTTGCTTCATGTGCAAACATGCGTATTGTGAGTCGATGTTCTGGTGCTGTTCAGTCATTGTTTGTATGCTGCTGGCTGTTTTATTGCTCTCCTGCATGTCTGCATTTTAATCAGTTTCATACACAAAAAAATTGCTAAACAAGACAAAAAACTAAAATGTTGGACAGGAAATACATCACATATGTGAATGCTTGAATTGGAGACCATGACTTTAATAGATGTTGTCATTACAGGAGAAGCAGAGACTTCTCTATGCACAGGACAAGATCGAGAATAAAGATAAAGAGAAGATAGACAGATAGAGAAAGGAATAAATTGGAAGACTTGGACAAACCTGTGGAGGAAGAAAAGATGGTGTGGTAGTTGGAGTTGAGGCTTGAATTGAGGTTGATATTCAAGGGTGTGTTGAGGTTGGGCTCGGAGTTGCCGCTACAACGCATTGTGGGGGTGTTGGGTGTACAGGATGGGGAGCTGGGGGCCGATGGGCCTCGAAGGTCTGCGTGCGGTGATGAGCCTGAAGGCACAGAAGAGACACCAAAGATTTACCAACGCACTCTACTGAAGTATGAAAGTACTTCTGTGTTCAAAAGGGCCAATGCAATGCTTTCTTAGCTGGGAATCAAATATTTCCATTATTCTCACTATGCATCCTTCACTCAGTCAGTGCTGATAATTAGCAAATGGAGAAAGTCTTGTTGCATCTCTCTTTCACACACACACACACACACACACACACATACACACACACTAAATCTTTTCTATCACCAAGCAGATGACTTGAGAGTGCACAGTGTCTGTGTGTGGGTGTGTGTGAGTGAGTCAAGAGCCTATGAGGTGGTTTAGTCTCGTCAGGGACGCCAAGCTTTCCTCCTTCATGAGCTCATGATCCCTCTGGGTAGGGTACAAAACTCTTCGATAGTCTATCTGTTCCGTATGATCTGTCCCCATCCGTACCCCATAACCACCGGCCCTGGCTTCAGTTCTCATATTGGCAGCTCATTTCTCCTCACAGACGGTAATGCCGACCCTGGTTCCACTGACAAATTCTGATCTAGTCTGCCTGGCAGGCAGACGGCATTGTTGTTTACACATTGTCCTTCAACTGACCATGGCAGAAATATTGCTATACTATCAGGCTGGCCACTTCCTTGGCACCATCATCCTTCCATGTGTCAAGTTATCTAATATTGGTAGTTTACATCCTATCCCACAATTTGCTTATCCACATTTTCCTACATTGACATTGTGGAGTGGAGCAACAACTAAAAAAAGAACCAGAGATGTTGAGAAAATGCAGAAAAAATGAAATACAGTTGGCTTAAAAAAAGAAAAAGACACATTTATGTGGTCTGTTGTTAGCACAAAAATGTATACAGTTTGTTTCATAACTCTAGCTACGTGCTCTGATCCATTGCTCTGAACTCGGTTGGCTTTTCCTCGGACCACTCCAACCACTGCAGTTTCAGTTTCAGCCTACGTAAACAAACCATAGTAGCTTTTTAGTCATGCAATAACCAGTTTGCCGCTAAAAAATCAACAGATGTAGCAAAGAGCACAGGACTTCTGGCAATCCATACAAAAACCTTTCCATACTTTGCTTGCATTCAAGGTTTGCGTTGGGATCAATGTGTTTGTACCACTTTGCTGAGACAAGCGTTTTTCAGAGTCATCTATTTATTTATTCTTTATATTATCATATTTTAGTGTGGATACAGTTCCGTGTTTGCATACAGTAGCATTTATACTCCCTTCCATTACCTACTTAACATGACCTATGTGGCAGGACAGCTGTTAGCAAATGTCTTGGTCAACACTAATAAGGAAAAATGGATAACCTTCATGTCTATTCATGTACCCTTTCATCAAGGGGACCTTTCATCTTCTCTCGTATTATGAATTTACTGCTGGCTCTGCCACCAGGAATGAGCATGTGAATGTCTTTAGCTATGCAGCCAGTGCAGTAGGCTTATTTGGGGTTCAGTATATGTGTGATGGCTTTCAACACTTGCTTATCAAATATAGAGATCTCCACTAGGCATCCATTAGGCAATTTCTTTTTCTGTTTGTGTCTGAAAGAAGTCAGATCTTAAACAGTAACATTACCTTTTAAGCTGATATTGCAAACTTAACTTGTGTTTGTGTCCATTTGAGGAATTCAAGTCCAATATTCACTCTCCTTTTAGCTCTGTTTTGGTCTCCACCGGGGATATATCTGGCTCTTCTGCACCTAATTGCTCCACTATGTTCACCAGCTAGTTGCTAACTATGTTCGTGTGTCGTACAGCGGGTTTTTAGAGCTTTTTTACTGAAAAATGGCGCTATAGGAACGATGAGAATGGACCAAATATAATATTAGGTTGCGTGCTGGAAAACCCAGGCTCTAGCAGCTTATAAAATTGAGCACACAAACCCACAGCAAGACACCAGTAATGAGGAATTAAAGGCCAGTGCTGATGATCTCACAGGGAATTATAAAATCTTGGTTTGTAAGATAACACGGACAAAATGACCATGTGAGAGCAACAGACTCCCATCTGTTCCACTTCACAGGCTTGACAACACCCAGGCATGACAAACTGTCACTTGCCTCAGTGGCTAGATGTTTCCATGGCAACTCGTGGCGTGCGGCTGCAGCGAGTGGGTGAGCAGAGACGTCACAAATGCACTCCCCACAGCTGGAGTGGGTAATGACTCGAAGAATGCTCATACCCCAAAGAATCAGTGGAGAGGATGAGGGTGAGTTAGTAAGAAAATGCACGAGGAAAAGAGGAAGTGCAGAGACGACTGGAGGACCAGTGTTAAGGGAACGAGCTGTGGGTGGAAAACCCAGCATCTCGAAACCTCCATGCAATTACATTTTAATAATGCATATGGAGGGCATCATAAGGAGCTATCACAGCCCCCCTCTTGATACATAATGCTGGCTGCTGGGAGCCCACGCAAGACAGAAATAACCTCCTCAGCCCTGGTCTGACTGACTACATGAAAGAGAGCAGAGGAGAGGAGAAATTGTAATCCAGAAATGAACTATAAGAGAGAATTATTTCAAATCAACAAATTCTAACAAATCAACGCATTTTGACCATCTCTGAAGCTCCTCAGAAAACTTCGCCTTTAATTATAGATTTCCTGTGAAAATAAGGCTAACTTGTTTGAACAGAATCATTATCAACTTAGCCAGAAGACAACACTGTGGTGGAGGCAGATTGTTTTCAAAGAATTAAGATGAATCTTTATCTGCAGCGACCGTAAACAAATCAAAAGCACTCACATTTGTGCTTGCTGCACTCTGCAGTATTTCACAGTCACATCATAATACACTAAGTCCAAGCAATGCCGGAGCTCCATCTTATGAAAAATAGAGAATTTAAAATCCTTTAAGTGCAGGACCTTTAAAATTGAGCATACTAAATATTTCAAACTTAAATTGGATTCCCACAAAATGTGCTGAAGCTTATTTACCTCTTCAGTGAAGATGTGTACTGTTTGTCCTAGAAAATAAACTTAGCAATGTCAGAGAATTCTCCAAACCAGATAAAAACTGCTACAACCTACGTACGGCATGTCCCGAACACTTTAATTATAAAATGATCTCTTCATCTTCACTGCAAGACAGACAAACCATCTTTGAATCCAACCAGAAAATGACGGCCTGTGATCATCACCACATTAACATGTATTGGTTTCATTTTCAAATTCAACAGAATCCAGAAAATCTTTTGTGGAGGGAAATTATACCAAAACTTGCAACCACTGCTTGTCATTAAACCACCCCTTTCCACAACTCCTGAACCTGTTAGCCATTATATGTTCTTATTCTGCTAATACTGCCTCAGACAGTCCTAAACAGTGCATGCAGTCTCACATCCAAGCAGCCAGAATCTCAACACCAGGCATGATTAACTTCAGGGTACCTTCAGGTAATGCTGCGTTATCTTTGTGTGAAATCTGCTGGAATCAAACGGAGCTGACAGAAATTCTGTTCAACTGAAGATACAAAGTTAACATTCATATGCGAACTGTGGGGGTAGAATGTAAATTCCCAAGAGATATACGAGTTGATAAAAAGTCAGAGAGCAGCCCAGACAGCAAAGGAGGGGGAAAGTATTTCGTGACTCGGCTGAGTGGGAATTCAGCCTCCAAAGGTCGTTGAAGGATCACAGACTGCATTAACTTCTGAATGGAAAGTTACAAATGACACCCTGAAAGATCTGTGGGACAATTTTCTGAACCACGATTTAATTAAATAATCAAACTTTTCCTGAAACTAATGCTAATGAAGAACTGTTGACCTGTGTAGGTACAACCTCTTGGGATCCAAATGGTGTAACTGCAACCTAATGAAACATTTTTTTTAAATTCCAATAGTAGAGTTTGTTCAAAATAGATTGTAACTCTGCATTTAGATTTCCTGGTCACCTCACTGCAGGCAGGTCATGGCTCATGGAGTTGTGGGTTTCTATGAGTAGTCAAGCACATGTGGAACATTACACCTGAATCTGAATAGGGAGGAGATATCAATTATAGTCCACTATTGTGAAAAGTTTTCTTTTTCCCTAAGTGTTTTTACAAGTTTGCTTTGCATTCCCAAACAGATTAAAGACCATAACCCTGTTTTTAGGCGTTTAAGATACAATCTAAGAATGCTGTTGCAAAAAAAGATCAAGGGAACAAACCTAAAATCCTGAGTTGTGTGATGTTGCCGTGCAGACCGTAGAACATCCAGAGTGGCCTGGAGTTATCCACACACAGCTGCATCCCTGCACTGATGCCGTTATGGCTCATCATGACCTCCCCTTCTGCATTCACCACAAAGCCCAAGATGTCTCCGCTGTGGAGCGGCACTGCCACCCAGCACACGGCCCAGAATTCCTTGCGGTCAACCAGGGATTCTGGGTTGGATGGGAGATCGCTGGGCCTCAGGGTGGCAGGGTCACACGATGTCACACCGTAAGAAAGAGACCCGGGCCGCGTGACACCCGCCTTCACCTTCACAAACACCGTCTCTGAGCAGCGCATTGGCCGGCTGGTGAACACCAGGGTCCTCTCGTCACCGCGGTGATCCAGCCGCGCCACCGTGTGCTTATCCAGCACAGTCACGTGGATGCCATGCACCAGGTGGAAGCGCAGATCAGTGTCCAAATGGCTGGGCAGCAGCGAGCACTGCTGCGAGTTCTGAGAGTTTTGGGGCACATGGCAGGAGGCGGAGCTTAAGGGTTGTAGCCGTTCCTCTTCCTCATCATCTTCCTCCAGGGTCGTCTCCTGCTGCTGCAGGCTCAGGTCACACAGGCTGATTGAAAGGCGAGGGTCATCACCGTTTCGCTGAATGGAGGCCCGGTGGGCGGCAGCAAAAGAGCGAGGACGCAGGCAGTCCAGGGGGAGCATCTCACTGTCTGTGGAAAAAAACACACAGGAATGTTATATAATCACTTGTTTGTGGTGTTTTCAATCTGAATGTCTTTTTTTTTGTTCTCTTATGTTTTTTATTTGGATAACATCAGACTGTGGCTAATACAGTCACATGTACAGTCTTTGCAAAAGTGGGGGAAAAATGTCCAGAGATCCAAATTAAATTCATGCGCCCACTTAGTATTCTGCCTATTTCCACGAACAACACTGGTTTGTTTTTCATTCGCTGTCTGTTCATCTCCAAACACATGTACACACACACTGTTCATTCATCATACCCGTCACTGTAAACAAATGGTGGCTTCCGGCTTCTCTGCTTCGTAACGTATTAACTCTAATGCACTCTCTCTGTACTGAGGCTTGCAGTTCAACTATATGAACAAATACATCAATGTTTACATGTTTAGAAACACATCGGGCTTTAAGTGGGGTCACACTGTAGCTGCAGGCCAGTGGCCACATCACAGTATGAGAAACATAATAGCTTTATGTAACATTGAAGAGATAAGAGATACACATGAAGCCACTGAAAGACAGTGAAGCTCAGCTGTGTTTCCCAATCTGCCTTTGGCTTGGAGTCCTGTGATAATCAGTCGCATTTTCTTATCTTAGTTCTTATTCTTATTTTAATTTAGAAGTCTTTTTGGACAATCCAGAGCCTAAAGTCTGAAAATGGAGTCTATATTATAATCTATTAAATCCAAAGAAATGTTGTTGTTTTTTTAAAAAGGCTGCTCTTTAAAAAAGTCCTTTGTCTTTGTCTTTGTCCAGGACTAAAAGTATATGTATAGTATAGAGTGGGTTTCAAATAGTTGCAATGAGCCGCCACAAGTCCTAGGTGTTTACATAACAAACTGTCTCAGCAGCAGTGTATTAATGTACTGTATTCTACCTCTGTACACTGTTAACATTTTCAGTTATGTGTCTGGATGCTAAAAGCAGCTTATTTTCCAATCATTGAAAGGGAAAGGCATTCTAAAAACTGTATCACATGTCTCTCCATGCTGTGCAGCCCCCTCACAAATAGCCCTTCCTATGCTAAATTCCGCCCGCTGTAAAAAAGAACCCACATGGGAACATCGCTGCAAAAAAGAAAACAGAGAGAGCGTGTGTCTTTCCATGCACACAGTCAGTACAAACGGATCTCCATCGTGGCCCGCTTAGGGACACGCTGCCAAATTTAACACGGCCCTCTAACATAGGCTAAAATTAGCCTGATTGGACATTTGAGGAGAGCAGGGGGGGACAGGCCGAGGGATGAGTGACATGATGGCTGAGCTGTGTGGCTCTTAGCCTCGATCTGCTCTGGGCTTCCCCTGTGAGAAGTAGATGAAGTGGGAGTGCGACAGAGAAGGAGAAGATGAAAAATAGGGTGGGGTGGACACTTGAGAGAAAGGGCATACCTCACTAGCTCCTCTTTATCACACAAAGACAGCACATCTCCGGCCAGCCACTGATAAACTGCTTGAACTTAATTACTTCCTCAGTCAAGAGTGTCCACAACCAAGCATGAGGCTCTTATTATTAGCCGCCTTATCATCTTCAAGGCAAAGTTAGCCGACTTTGGGATACAAGAGATAATTTCTATTCTTGCTATTATGGCTTCCTGCAGTTCACAGTTTCTGTTTTTGAGAGTGCCGCTGCAGTCAAAACAAGCCGTGCGGAGAATCGTAAAAAGGAAGCTTCTACCTTTTGCGAAAAACAAGATGTACAAAAGATAAAAGAAAACGAAACAATGACAGATAAAGATGTGAGCCAAATAAATATGTATGACCCTCTTCCTGGGTTTGGTCTCTAAGGAGTCTGAGACAATCTCACACATTAAACACCTGACAAATATGAAAAGCATCCAGCCAAACAGTAAGATTGCAAGGCTTGAAACACAAAAACACTATGTTTATCTTCACGTGTTTACGTGTGTACACCAACATTCACCGAATGGTTGCATGCACAGGGGGAAATAACTGCTCCTGTAACAGTGCACACTATAGCAGAGACGAGGCTGGAATAGTCCTGTTCAACCTGTCCACACTTTCTAACATTCACGACAATAATTCCCAAATGTGGTTGGCTACTTGTGTGCCAAGGGGTACTTCTGTCATTGCCAAGGGCTTGTGGACAGATTGTGAGCTCAATTAATTTTGAAAAAATGTAATACACATACAGAGTCAGTATACTAAATAGTTAATTAAACATGATGGAAAATAGTTAAATGTCCAGCTGCTGCCACTCCCAGTTGTACAAATGCAAACTTAATTAAACTGACCTTAAAGGTCCAGTGTGTAA